GAGCCGATTTCGTGTATGAATATAGAAGCCCTATGACTACAACTACCATAATTTGAATTGTCATAAAATTATGAAATTATCGTACATTATGGGATTTTTTTTCATTATTGATCATACATCGTACAGAGGTCAAAATTATTGTACAAATACGATAATTATCGTACGTCTGGCAACACTGCAACCATGACCTGAGGATACCTGTTTCGGCACAGTGCCACCTAGTGGTCAGGAGATATGATGAAATTGATATTTTTTGCTTATAACTTCTGAATGGTTTGGCCAAAAACCAAGACCAAGACTCTCTCTTTAGATTTGGTGCAGCATACCAAGTTAATCTATACCTAATTTTCCCACGTTGGCCATTTTGAATTTAGATGTAAAATGCTATATTTTACGAATGCATTAGCGTATCATTACAAAACTCGGTATATGTTTTCGGCACCATGCCCTGAAGGTATTCAAAACGTTTCGACCTTGTGCCGTGCCCCCTCAGATTTCTGAGCCAAGTGGATTTTGAATGCAGCTTCCAAAAGACAAAAAAATAGCCGAATATTTTCTATATTTGATACAATCACACCAGCGTGATTAAATCGTTCAGCGCATCATATCATCATCTGCTAAATTCAAATCTGCGTTCGCTGGTTGGCACTGAGCCAGCACTGCACATTAACCAATCACACACGATGCTGTTGAGTTTATGAATGCAATGGCCAATCAGAGGTACTCTGATGAGTCATCGCTAAAATGCCGGTGTTTTCTTCACTCGCTCGCTGCTTGAATACCTCTTTCTGGCGAATTCTTTAGTTAGAAACAACAAAGTGCAGATGTGTGTATGAATCGGTAAGATATTAATTTCACAGTGTAAACAGCTTCAGTGATTTTAACAGGAGTTTTTGAGAGTGCTTGAACTCTAGACTGTCAGTGAAAATGTTTTTTGATAATGTAAATGTTCTTTGCTCTTTTTCTGTACAATGAAAGCACGTCGGCGTTGCTTGATTGGTGACCAATGCAAGAGAGAACAAAACAAAACGCCGAACACTAATTAGAAGCACAAAACGAGGATTTATAAAGAAAAATGTCAGAGGATTTCGAAATAAACTAAGAGGAGACTGGTTTTCCTTTGCTAAAGTAAGGAAACTGCTTCCTAGCAGACCTCAGAGGCGCGCTCACTGCTGCGTCATCCGCTGGTCCGTTTATGACAGATACCGGAAGTGAGAGAAAAGTGTTTATTACGTTTGAAATATGGATATTTTTCTTACAAAAACGCATGGATTCGCTACAGGAGGCCTTCGGAGCCTTGTGCGGCACGTTTTATTATGGATGTGCGCACTTTATTTGACGACTTGTGGACTGTTCAACTGCAACACCCGCATACTGCAATGATAGAGCTTGGTATAACTCCGACTGGATTCGTCTGAAAGAAGAAAGTCATATACACCTAGGATGCTTCGAGGGTGAGTAAAACACAGTCTAATTTTCACTTTTGGGTGAAATAACCCTTTAAGTAAACCGGTTTTTATGCATAGTTAATACTACATTATTAGGCTACTTTGACCATCGCCCACTATAGATCAACTAACATAATCTATAAAGTGGCGCGCTCGCTGCGCTTACGTCATACGCCTTCCGCCGGCATGTTTAATTATGATTGCACGCGCTTTTTTTGACGACTTGTGGACTGTTCAACTGCAACACCCGCATACTGCAATGATAGAGCTTGGAATAGCCAGGACCATTTTTAATATAACTCCGACTGGATTCGTCTGAAAGAAGAAAGTCATATACACCTAGGATGCTTCGAGGGTGAGTAAAACACAGTCTAATTTTCACTTTTGGGTGAAATAACCCTTTAAGTAAACCGGTTTTTATGCATAGTTAATACTACATTATTAGGCTACTTTGACCATCGCCCACTATAGATCAACTATGTGGTTTTAATTTCATGCCAACTTTAAGGTTCTTGAAGCCAAATTTAATTTAGTCTGTGCATTGTTGAATGTTTTGGTGTGGTTTGAGAGTGAAAAAAGATTTAAAAGTTTGATCTTTTCAACATAGAAAGTGATTGTGATGCGTTAGAAGACTTTGAATATACCAGTCAAGTCATATGGACTAATTTCATGCTACCTTTATGTACTTTTTGGAGCTTGAAAGTTCGGATCCCAATTATTTTTATGGACAAAAGGACTGCCTAAATATACAGGTGAAAAAAAGTGTCTCTACATTCTTCTTCTGCCTTGAAAAAGGTGTTGGTGACAAAAGCAGTACACAAACCTGCATGTATAGGCACAATTGAGAAAAGCTGATGCTACACTATGAGTGGTTTGCACACAGATCCTCGGAACCCAAGAAGTCTGAACAACTGAGCTCTATAAGTGTCCGACTGCGCACCGCAGATCTTTTCAGAATGTCTCCAATCTCCATCCATTTGTGAGCTCAGTCCCAGTGTAACTGTAAATCAGTGGAGTCCAAGAAATCAGATGAAAAGACTGCAGTCGGTGAGCAGATACCAGCAGGTCCTGGAATCGTAAGGTCCAACCATTCCATGTTGTCGAGACCTGCATCTTGTAGAGGGAGGGCGGAAGGCGGCGTGTCGGTGAAGGTCAGATCTGAAGTGTCCATTGGGGAGTGGGGCCGCTCCAGCAGCTGGTTTTTAAGCTCCTCCATCATTCTCAGGGTCCGTGGCTCAGCGTCCTCCAGCAGGGCCTCCAACTGGTTATCGGAGGCCAGAGCCACCAGGCTGGATGAAGGTGCTTGGGTTTGGTTGGGTGTGCGGGCAACATGTATCTGCGGGGGAGGACGAGACAGCACCGTGTTGATGGGCAGGGTGGTGATGTTTGCTGTCACTGGAAGAAGTTTGTCCAGAGAAGGATCCTGTCTAGATAGAGGGGATATTTCTGGGAAAGCACAAAAAACGGTTTAGTTATAGAAACCTATTGTAGCTGAAATCAAAGAGCTGTTTGGTCTTTTCTCACCTCCACTCTCGATCAAAACGTCAAACAAATCGTCCATGTGCTGACTGGTAGCAGTAGGAACCTTTATGGAAGAATACAAGGTATTAAGACAACAGAAAGTGTTCAAAATAGATGACAAAGTATGTAATATTAGTACTGTGCCATTCAAATGGAGTTCGAAATATTTGAATTCTGAGCACATGAATGACAGAGATAAATCGTATTTATGATAGGGAATGTCTGTTAACCTAAATCCCAGAGCATTCTTCGGTTTTTATGCATATATCAGGGTATGCGTACAGTATATATGCCATAAATTTCATCATCAACATATTTTCCAACGGAGTACTCTGTATTCTTGCACTAATTCATCTGTCCACAAGGTGGCACCACTATTGTTTCATTTTTGAAAAAGAAATGGAAAAGACAGAACCACAAATAAGTGTCCGACTGCGCACCGCAGATCTTTTCAGAATGTCTCCAATCTCCATCCATTTGTGAGCTCAGTCCCAGTGTAACTGTAAATCAGTGGAGTCCAAGAAATCATACAAAGGAAAAAAATAAAAATAAAACAAGAACATAAGTGCTATATAAGTGCTCAAAAATAATGAGTGCATGATGCCCCTGTCAAAAAGTATAATACAATGTCAAAAAACTAATCGCTTTTGATTAGTCTTGCCTATTGTTTATTGCTTTTTTTTTTTTTTTTTTTTTATTTAGTTATGGAGATCAGTTGGAAGCTGTATTTTCAAACTTTGAAGTATTGCTAATACAAGCCATTTTCTGCTACTGCTAGACATTTACATTGGGAAAACATGGACATATTGTGTTCCCTTCAATTTATTCCTTAAAAGTTTCTTTACTTCGTCTTAAAAAGTCTTAAATTCACCTTTATAAAATCTGCAGAAACCCTGGCAATACTTTGTCACCAAATGCCTGATTCTGTTTGAAGTATGTAGTAGAGTACGAGTTCTTCAGCTGATTAAAAGCAATTCTAAATTATTTTAGCTTGTTTTGTAGGTTATAAATTGCAAACTTGTCTTTGAGATATATTGTCTTTGCTAAATTGTCAAATGATAAGTCTATTTATTGTGTTGTTAGCTTTCTTTGTATCATAAGTAAGGTTATGTGGGGCCTTTGGAAGGCCAAACAAGTACATTTCAATGGTTTCAAATACAGAAACATTTTAATGATAAAAGGCTGTATATACAATAAAGATATGTACAAAGATAACCTCAAAACATTATTTACAGTTGCACAAATACATTTGTATAAAATGTATATTGTAAAAATATATACACCGTGCAAAATATGAGGCATACAATCAACATCACACTTCAAAGGGTCAGTAAAATTTCAAATAGTTCTCCTCTTTACCTCTTCATAACAGAGCAATTACTTAGATAGGCATGTTGTAAAAAAAACAGGCACACAACTCCTAATAGTCTTTACAGGTTTACAGGTCTTGCGATAGGATTTTACTCCACCGCAGGTCTTATTTTACACTAAAAAATATATATAGAGCCATAAAACGTGATAAAAATATATGTGAGAACTGCATAAATGCAGAAAAATTGTATGTTTTTGGGTCTCTGATAGAGACAGAACTATGGAATCCCTTTAAAAATTACATTTCTAAATATAGAAATACATTCTTTTTGACAACATGTTTGGATAAGGAACTGATTGTCAATGAGTTCAGTCCGAGGTCAAGTAAGTGCACTATTTGGCATGTCTGGCATATTTTCACATAGTGTCTAAAGAGAAATCTGCTATTTCATCTGCCAAACACTGAAGAAAAACATTTCATAGTGAAACATCTGAAGGGAGTGGTGATAAGAAATTCATTCAGCTGTCTGTTTCAAAACGTTCCAGCAGATGTGACTACAATGTCACATTTTATAGAAAAATAATCTAAAAGACAATTTGACTGAAAACGAACCCATTCTTGCAAATAACTGAGTAGATGAGGTTTAGGTACATTAACAAAGGCAAATGACCTGCCAGCTATCTGTATTTCAGTGGTTATAAAGAAAGAAGCTCAAATTCTGTGAAATATACTGAATCTGGGCCTCAGCAGTTTAACTGCATCCAAAACAAACATCTACTGTACAGCAGTAAAGAGTCTGACCACTCAAAACGCAGCTGCTCTCTGATGTAATTCTGATCGCCTCATCTGAATATGGAAATTTCACTTGACCAAAGAAACAACACTAAACAGGACCAGACACGCAACAGTGGCAGTTCAGAATGCAAGAGCTGAATATCTCTAGCTCTACTCTTTTGATAGGGATAATAATGGCCCCTAGTCAGGCATTTGTGTGCCTATCTCCCTCCCTCTCTTTGGCCCCATGTGGGATTGGTAAACAAACTCGCTCTGGCCTTTTCCCAGTCCATGCACTGGATGATTTCGAATGTTTAGAAATTGAATGCTATTATTTAGCTGCCACAATTTCAAGTACCCTAATGCAACGATTAACAGCTCATTGACCATGGCAGGTGGTAGTGAATGGACATAAGCCATTAAACAGGTTCCTTCAATGAAGATGACATCACATTTGTAACAATTACCATGGCACAATTTTTCCATCACAAATGTCTGACAATCGCAAACTCTGTAGTTAAATATCAATATTTACTCACCTTCCATGTTGTTCCAAACTTGGATGCTTTTTCTTCTCGAGACAGCACCGTGTTGATGGGCAGGGTGGTGATGTTTGCTGTCACTGGAAGAAGTTTGTCCAGAGAAGGATCCTGTCTAGATAGAGGGGATATTTCTGGGAAAGCAAAGAAAATGGTTTAGTTCTACAAATCTAGCTGAAATCAAAGACCCGTTTTGACTTTTCTCACCTCCACTCTCGATCAAAACATCAAACAAATCGTCCATGTGCTGACTGGTAGCAGTGGGAACCTTTATGGAAGAATACAAGGTATTAAGACAACAGAAAGTGTTCAAAATAGATGACAAAGTATGTAATATTAGTACTGTGCCATTCAAATGGAGTTCGAAATATTTGAATTCTGAGCACATGAATGACAGAGATAAATCGTATTTATGATAGGGAATGTCTGTTAACCTAAATCCCAGAGCATTCTTCGGTTTTTATGCATATATCAGGGTATGCGTACAGTATATATGCCATAAATTTCATCATCAACATATTTTCCAACGGAGTACTCTGTATTCTTGCACTAATTCATCTGTCCACAAGGTGGCACCACTATTGTTTCATTTTTGAAAAAGAAATGGAAAAGACAGAACCACAACAACAAACTACTAGAGACATTAACAACAAAAGACACCAGCGTTGACGAGCAGGTTAAGAAATACCCGCAACTCTTAGTTTAAATGAGTACAAAGACATTTTTATTAGTCATAACTTCTGGAGAGAAATGTTGCAGACATTGAATAAAGATTAAACTTTTGAGTGCTCACGTGTTCGAGTGCTATCAAGTAGTGCATACTTCGAAAGGCTATCTGTTCAGCTGTCAAAACTGAAGTATACTTTGGGCTTAACTTTAAATTACCTGCACTGTGGCTTGTAGACCTCTGGTCTGTTTGACGGCCTCCTCGTAACGGGGTGGGTCTTTGCTCTTTGGGCTATGGTGATTGGGGAACGTCAATGGCTGGAAGATATAGTTGAGCTGACAGGGCGAGGGAGGCTGAACAAAACATATAATTTTCAAACTGTGTAATAGCCGGCCCTTGTGGCAAAACTGAGTAAGCAATGTGTGCTTGTATTGCGTTACGAGTTCTAAACCATTTTTTGAGCTCGTTAAAGCTTGAAAAGTAGCTTGTGCTAGCTAGGAGAATTTGTGTTCATGTACTTGCATATGCAACAGAGGTCAGCTTGTCTTACTTTGTTAATGGGTCCATTTGTGTGTCTGGGTGAGTTGTTGAGAAAGCACTGGGGCATGTCTGTCATGGGCTGGTTCTGGTGCTGCCTGTACTCAAACCCAGAAGACGAGCTTCCACACATGGGTAAAGCCTGTAAAACGCAAGGAAGGCAGCTTTAGGCCCAGTACGTGGTGTAAGAAATATCAGTGTGTAAACACAGGCCTTTTGTTCTCGAACCAACTCTGTCTTAGTGATAAGTGCTCTTTCTGATTTTCTCTGTGCTCTCCATTTCTTTCACCTATTTAGTCATGTCTGTGTTTGATGTTGTTAAGAGGGTAATGTATCACCTGAACTCAACTGCTATTGCCAGGACAACATCAGAGATAAGCACAGAACACATTGCACGCCTCAGAAAGGCTTTCCATTTCAACCTACGTGCCAAATCAGAGAGAAATGCGTCTGGGCCTTGTCATCACAATAGTGAGCTGAACGGGATTTATGAAGTGCGGGAACATTAAAAGCAAGAGGAAAGGTCAAGATCTACAAGTACCCTAAAGTATACAAGAATAACAACACAACTCAGATCATATGGTGTATTACTTTGCAGTAAAATAAAAGCATTAATACAACAATTACAAAGTAAAATATTATTTGTGATTTGTGGTGTCTTTTCAATTAAAATTGTGCATAATGGATATCGTAATTACCTTGTATGTCTACAGTAGCTCATATAATTAGTGCCAGCTGTGATGTTGCCCTGCGTCTGGGCCGAAAAGTTGCACTTGAACACGACGCAAAGACTATAGCCAATGTTCAACAAGCACATATGTTCTGAGCCTGCTAAAGAGGAAATTACTCTCCATGCCAGCAGATGGCAGCAATCTGTATTAGTCATTCCAAAAGGGAAACCTGAAGAGCTGGGACGGTGAATATACAAACCACATACCAAGTCTCCCGTTTGCTTGTGTTCATCACTTCCATTTTTCTTCTTGTTCGCCAATGCAGAGTTCACACTGCACGATTTTTAAAGACGTCGGATCATTGCCTGTCTGGAGTACCATCAAGTTGTTGTTGTGTGCACACTACACGACGGGGGGTCACACATTACACAACTTTTCAATAGCAAGAATCGCAGACAACTCTGCCTTGTCTACTGTTTCACAACCAAACACACGCGAGAATTGATACGTAAGATCACGCGAGAGGCAGGCATTCTCACACGAGCATGGATTTATTCCTGTCAAAAACGGTTGCCCGCAAAAAACCTGCAATCCAAGTTGTCTGTACACTTATTTGCAGTGAAAAAATAAAAAATAAACAAAGACGTATATGAAGGAGAAAATGGTTGCTTGCTGATGTTCTCTTGCAGGTCTATTATGACTCCTCCCCCTGAACTTTCCCTTGCCCCGTATCTTGCTCTCTCATTGGCTGTAGGTAGTCGCCAAAGTAATTTCCAGTCAAAACAGATTTTACACTGCAATGTGTGTGAATCACTGACAGGTCCAAATATTTAGCATGCCAAAAATCTCACAGGCATCAGTGACGCATCGGCACTTCTCTCAGATCGCATCTTTGATAACACTACGTGACTGCCACTCGCATGAACGAACACCGATTTGTCAGCGAGTGAAAATCAGGTCTAAAATCGTGCAGTGTGAACCCAGCATAAGCTGAACAGCCAATCTGAATGTTCTCACACTAATGGACTATGCTACAAATTCAACATGCTCAATCGGCCGAAAAGCTGCTCAATGACAGCCTGACACTGGCCCCAGATGGACTGTCAGCTTGGTGTATCATGTTCTTTACCATGCAGTTGTTAGGGTGTTCAAGGTGGTTGCAAAGACGTTGCTATAGAATTTTAAAGATGTTTATAGAGTGTTTGATAGTGCACTGCTATCCATGCAGTCGGTAGGGTGTTCTGAATGGATGGTTGTGTGTGTAAGTGGTTGCTTACTGGTCCAAATCAAAAGCACCCACCCCTAAACTTCTATAACTCTGTCTCTAGACATGGATATGGACCCCTCTTCAATGTCTTCAAGATTTCACCCATTTGATCATTCACTAGATGTAAATCACAAAGAAGAGGTTTGCTCACTTGAGGTGGAGATGGCGTCTGACTTGAATGCTGTTGTAACATTGTGTTGTTGGACGTCTGTGTTTGCAGAAGTGGTGTTTGTATTATGCTGGGCAATGTTGGTTGGAGAATGGTCTGCACCTGCAAAAAGTATAAGAAATTGCAATTTTATACATTTTCTTCACTGTAAATAGAACTGGAATATCATGAATGTTAAGAGACCTGTGTGCTGATGGGGTTGTTGGGCCGGCTGATAGGCAGCAGGATTTGTGTGGCAGGCTGAGTGTTAATCAGTGTCTTCTGATGCAGCACTTGTGGGACTTGATGGGTGTTGATATAGAACTGCTGGACTGGGGTGTGGTGCAGCTGAGCATGTGGCTCTTCCTGTTTCACACCTGTAGTTTGTGGCAGGGGACTCTGCTTGGAGTTGCAGCTCTGCCCTCCGCCCTGCTGACTCCTTTTCTCTACCTCCAGCTGCATCTTCAGCTCCTCCACCAGCCGCTGCTCCTGCTCCAGCTTACGCATGAGTTCCTCAATCTGACACTCCTTCTCGTGAAGGCGCTGGTCTTTTTCGGACACCTTGATGTCCATGGTCATGTCTTCAGGTGTGGGTTTGAGGGGTGAAGTGCCTGCTGGTGGATGGACTGGAGACAACATGCATAGAGCTTTGGTGGGACTGTCTCTGCTGTCCTCCATACTGATGTAGGAGGCCTCTGACTGCTCAGGAGAAATGGGGGGAGTTGTGCTCATGCTGTCAGGCTGTAGAGGAGCTTTGGAGATGTTTGTATCCATGGTTGTAGCAGATTGAGAGCTCTCCTGGTGGGCTTTAAGCCTTTCTATGAGATCTGTCTTTGTGCCGGACACAGGGAGTCCACGCAATTTCAACTCCATCTTAAGCTCAGCCACCTAGAGGACCAAAGAACAGCTGTACCTCTGCATACTTATGTATTCTAGGAGCAGGAAATAAATAAGCATATTACCCACCTTCATCTCATCTAGGTTGGTAGGCAGCGACCCGGTTTTACGACCGGTCACAGTGTTGTTGGGATGTGAAGGAGCCGCATTGGGCAGAGATACCATAATGGGAGTGGGAAGACAAGGGCTGGTGCTTAGGTTGATGTTGGGGCAGCTGTTCTGAATCTCAGCTACTGGCCTGTAGAGGAGTATGAGGGATTTTAAATGCAACGGGAGCTTCCTGTTCCCTCATTATTCACAATAAACAGCTTTTCTACACAATAGAAGCAGAGGTCTATCTTGCGGCAACAGGAGCCAAAATGGGAAATAATGTGAGGAACTGCCGTACCACGGCTGGGGTGATGACAGGTCTGTTAGACAAGATTAATAGGTGAAACCATTATTTAGAGGCAATCGCTCATAGCACACAACATTCACATTCTTTTCTGAGTTGCATACTTCTGCTGCAAAGCAATCAGGCTCACAGTAAATCCTTTTAGTGTCAAGAGCGGAAACTGATATATCAGAATAATATGCAATTGCACTGGTCCGTAACCAATGACTCAACTGAGATGACATTACACAAGGGGAACTAGCATTATGTTTTTATGTCATGTGCACAAAGTGCCAGTGTTCCCCAAGGCATTGAACTCTATAAAGCGAAGTGCCAACTACAGAGTTACTTAGGTTATGTGCAATGTTGTAACATGAAACTTTTGACAAGTTGATGCACAGCACGTTTTATGGCTATTTTTGTATATATTGGAAAAATATATAGCATTCCATTCCCTGCTCAATATTCTCCTCCAAAATAATGTGCAAATTGAAGGCTATACAAAACAAATATAAATGTATAATTGTAGGCTATGCTACACATTAATGTGCATAAAAGCATACAGCTTAAATCAGTAAATATTCACAATAATAATAATAATAATACAAGAGGTATAATGTTCTGCAAGAACACATATTCATTCTTCTGAACACATTACTGACATTTATTTATTCTATGAATATAATGGACTTCTCATGTCTCTCATAAAAATTGTATTGTGTTAAAATATGATTTCACTTAAAGTTTTAATTAAAATCAATATAAAGCTAAATTAACAACAAAATATTTTGTCAAAATTAATTTAATATTTTAGTCAAAATTATATTATCAGTCTGCTTGATGTGCATTCAAGACTTTTTGCAAAATGCAAATACTCAATTTGCAACATTTACAATTGCAAAATGAAGCTATAAAATGTAAGTTATGTATTGGAGTAATACACTTCTCAAGCGCATTAAACAGCACACACATCTAGCATCAAATAAAGTTGCCTTGTGCTTTGGATAGCTTGAGCTGTCCACTTTTCTTCCAGCAAAGTATTTGTCCCCCCAAAAATTTGTTTTTCATTAAGTTTACCAAATAATCAATAATGAAATTTGTTCCTGTGTGTCTAGAATCTAGATACAAACAAAATATGACATTCAGAGATAGTCATGTTGTATCATTATATTATATATTAATTTCAACTAGCCTAGTTCTCTTGCTAACAGAGGTGTCAGCACTCTGAGAATACCAGGAGCTCAGAGATTTGTGGGCAAAACTGAATAGGTGGGACTTGTATGAACATCTACCTAAAATTACAGGAAGAGGAAACAGGATGCGTGGAGGGACATGACCCTCATTGTTCCTAAATATTGAGTCACAGGATACACATGAAAATGGTTTGGCTTCTGAGGAAGGGAGTTGAAAGTCATCAGGATGTAATAACACACCATTTCAAGCTGGCTTGTGTGAGCAGGTTCCCGAAGCACCACTGGGAGAGTAGTGAGTGACCCTCTGTCATGGAGTAAATATGCGGAGTATGCTTTGAAGGCATGGATTATGATAAATGCACAAGTTATTGCCTGACTCCTGTTTCTATGTTCCCAGCTTCAGTTTGTTCTTCTCCGCATTATGAGTGTGAATGTTTCATTTAACCTCCAATTGAAGACAGAAGACAGCTGCTAGCACTTCTAGCTCTGCATCTGCTGCTCTTCTGAAACTAACTTTGCCTAAGGTACCTTTGACAAGTCATTCTAAACAAGCTGTTTAGAGTGACAAACAACAGCTCTACTATTTTCCTGTCTTTACACTGTGGTACACTTTTTAAATTTTTTTAAAATTTTTTTACAAAAGATTTATACTACTGTTCAAATGTTTAGGGTCAGTACAATTAAAAAAAAAGATATTAATACTTTTATTCAGCAAGGATGCATTAAATTGATCAAAAGTGAAAGTAAAGATGCTTATAATAAATGCTGTTCTTTTCACAGTGTCCACAAAAATATTAAGCAGCACAATGGTTTCCGAGTCTCCGGAGTTGCGTTTCATTTGGAGCCCGAGTCAGCGCAGTAGTGATCATGAGGTGGAGCCGCGGTATCAAAGTCCCGCCCAAACTCCCGCAGACCCAATCGCAAGCTGGCGATCCTGCGCAATTCTCAAAACACCCACAAGATGGCGGCGTTTATCGGTGAATCCGATATTACAAAACCGATATCCGATTATGGTAAAATGCTTAAATATCGGGAAAAATATCGGTAAATCGATATATCAGTCGATCTCTATTGGCAATAACTCTTTAGCATCAGATTTAAAATCTATTTTCAGCTTAGTTTTTTTTTTTTTTAGTTTATGTCTGACTGTAATGCAGCATGATCACTTTATTCCCTCTTTCACAGTCAGTATGCTATATTTCATTATCTAGCTGGAGTTGCTATTTTGAAATTAGCCAGTAATACTATGAGTCACTGACCATTATCTCAGAGGAGAAAATAAACATTGGCAGGAAATGACATCACTGTGGTTAGGAAATATGGTTTACCTTCACAAGGGTGGGTGCTGGCTTTGTGGGAGTAGCAGCAGTGACTAGCTGAGTGGCAGTCATTACTCGGCCATCTTCTGCTGATGTTCTGTTCAGGAAGTCTGGACTCTGGGTTGTAGGTGGACACAATTGAGATAAAAAGAGATTAAAAGTCATATGGCAATGAGAAGCGACAGAGGTGTATAAATCTAACCAGCAACACAAGGCTGATGTCTGGATAATTTGTAGAGAAAACATAGATGTAGACACTACTTGGCTCTTCTGGAGAGCTTTGTCAGTGAATTATCACTTCATGTGCTTTAATGAAAGCATTCTCTGTCAAACCTTTTTTTTTTATCATAAGCTAACTGTAAATATTAGAACTGAATATACCTGAACCAGTTATCAGTCTGGATGTGAAACTAGGGACTGTTAAGATGCTGACCTGGAGTTTGGAGCCAGTCGGAGGCGAAACAGAGGATGGATCAGGCAGTCTGGCTTCTACAGGAGAACATGCAGAGCCTTGAGACTCATGACTAGCTGGCTGCTCTGGAGACAGAGCTTCACTGCTGTCCTCATTGAAGTTATAAACATCCAGTCCTCCAACTGCAGTGTCCAAAACAAAACCAACACAAAATAAAAACCCAAACAAACAAGCAACAAACCCACAAAACAAAACAAATTAGTGATAGTGATTTAATTTCCATGTAAATTCCAGTAAATCTGATGATTAAGCGTGAAGATAATACAATATTTCATTGTTTTTACCAATGTCAACAGGCAGAATGTTCTTCTCCACCAGTTCCATTGGTCCAGGCCTCTGTGCAATCTTCTCATTGAGGTCATCTGCTAGACGTGCCCTCTTTAGTTTCATCTGAGTGGCTTGCAAAGAAGGCTCTGCATGGGTTTCTGAAATACATAGAACAACTTCAGACCATACTAAAGATGCATGATAAATTAAGTATCGAGGATGTGAAACAAAAGACTCTGACAATGCTTTTAAGAGCTAAAAATCACATCTGTTTGTTCAGATGCGTACCTTGTAAAATGTGCATTCGAACAAGTTCAGCGCGGTCAGGTCTGCTGCGGATTTTATGCTTCAGGAAATTCACAGTCTGTATATGATGACAATGCAATATATATGAATTGAGTAAATGAATTAAGAATTTGTGTAAAATACATCTCAACATGTTATTGTTCTCATAGCACTCTAGTAACCGACAAATGTTGATTTCTAGAAAACAAAGTGGCTGATGGCCAACATAAAGTATAATATATTATGTAATTAATTAATTCAGTATAATAGATTAATGTAATCAAAACTTGAATTTCATTACGCAATCTCATGACTTTAGCACATTAAATGATGATACACAACACATTTAATAGTATTGTTGTGATTTTTCCATAACATTATATTACTAAACCGGTGTAAAGGCCAGTTCACTAATAATAGATATTGCAAAGTGTAGGAATGTTTCTGAGCGTTTGAGTTTTACCCTTGCCCTCTCCAGACTTCTGAGTTGCCCGTGAAAAGCTCCAGGTGTTTTCAGCGCTGGAAAGAAAAATATATTCAATGCCTTCATTTAAAAACAAGAAGTCAAATGACATTATATAATATATCCCATTATATAATACATCACGTCTATGTGGCACAAAGCTTTTTTTAAAACATTTTGCTGTGTTTAACTACTGTGTGCTAAAGAACTTATGCTTAAAGCAAAGTTCATGCAGTTATACCCTAAAGGAAAACCTAAGATTGTCTTATCTACTGAAGCTGAACTAGAAAGTCAGCATTTTGACCCACTTTAGAGAATGTGTGCTTGACAATTTATAAACTAAAACTATTTTGTTAGATTTATGCATAAAAGTCATAAAGTCAATCTGCCAATGGGTCAAGAAAAATAAAATTAATTCAAGATATATTCTCTGAAAACAAGTCTAATAATTTTATGTAATTTTCTTTTGAGTAAATCACATTTTAACCATTTTGGAATATTTTTTAAATATTTAAATTTTGTTTACATTTTTTTTTTACTTGAAGACCAAAATATTTATTACAAATATTTCATGTTTTCATAAACAAATACTGTACATCAAAGAAACATTTCTGCTAGGTGTATTTAAGTGGGTGTTGAACGGTCATCTGCATCCATGGTCAACAGGAAATGAGCACTCTGACAGTTGCCGTGGTTTGATTAGCAAAGGCAACTTTTGTTTACCCTGATTAGTCGTATATCACTAACCAAATGTGGCCTCTTAAGCAGTCTGCTGCACTAACAACAACACTTTCAGGAAAGTTATAATCCTGACTTTAATATGATTAAAGAATGCAAAATTTGGTCTTTGCGGCCATTAAGCATTGACTAAAGCCCGGGAGGTAACCACAGGTCTTGCTGTGCAAAAGTGCAGGCCCAGTCGCTGACTCACTCTTGTTACTCTTGGAGCTTGGACCATGACGTTAGGGGCCCTATACAGACGGCAAGCACTGAGAAAGCAGGACAGCTCCCGCTGTTTCAGACAGACATCAGTCACACCATTGTTCTATCTCTCCTTCCTTATCAGTTGGTATCCTCAACAGACGCTTTCTTTTATTAGAACTGCTCTCCTTACTAACATACATATCTTACTAAGTCCCCCCGCCGTCAAAAAAAACTGTGGCTGGAGGTAAATGTGTTCCACTTTATGAAGAATAAGTACAGTGTGTGTGCGCAGAGCTTAGGTGATAATGTGAGCGGCACTTGGTTAATGATGCTGGATTAGGAGTTAAAATAACAAGGAAGCAGATCATTTGACTAACATATTGTTTTGGTCTCAAAGGATTACTTCATGAAAGTCCACTGCATGTAGGCTGAATTTGTCTAAACATTAATAGTTGACATTTGAGCATTATGTTTCCATGAAGCAAGCATACTCACGTGGCATGATGCCCTGGTCTGCGAGCTGCTCGCGTGTGCGCCTCTGCTGGAGTCTTAACTGAAGCACTGTGGAGGAAGCAAAAACAGAAAAATTTAACTTTGGTGAGTTTCTACTTTTAATGCTTTCTGAGATGGTACTAAATACAGTCCAAAATAAGTCTTGACCTAATCAAGCATGACACCCAATCATTCATTATCAGATTCTTCATACAGTGTTCAGCAAAATGATTAATAAAAATAAAAATAATACAAAATAGGGTTATTATCATTAACTAAAACGATAAAAACTAAAATAAAATATAAAATAAAAATTATTTTATTTCAGCTAGTTGCCAAGATTTCTTATTTTCATTTAGTTTAACTTGATGTACTTGAATAACTAAAACTGAAATAAAAATGACTAAAAAAACTATATAGACTTTTAAAAACAAAAATGAATAATAATGACAAAAACAACAAAGTTAAAACTTTAACAAATTAACATGAATACAGAAAACATACAAATAAAAACTAATTCAAAATAATAAATTCTACAATAGTATCTCAATGATACTAAAATGATAGTACTGAACAACAACAACAACCAACCAAATAAATTAATAAATAAATATTTTCCCCCCTCCAAAGGCCAAATCCTAATGTGTGGTATTGACTTATTTATTCTCAAAGAATTACATTTTAACACGCTCGTAGTAAATGTAGAAATCAAAATTTGAATAGGCATGCATAATTTAAATAGTGAATAGTTGATAGTGGTAGTATTGCTCAATTATGGTGTTAAATTATTTTAGAACTTAAAGGGTTAGTTCACCCAAAAATGAAAATTAGGCTGTGTTTTACTCACCCCCGAGGCATCCTAGGTGTATATGACTTTCTTCTTTCAGACGAATCCAGTCGGAGTTATATAAAAAATTGTCCTGGCTATTCCAAGCTCTATCATTGCAGTCAGCGGGTGTTGCAGTGCTTCAGTCCAAAAGAAGTGAAATAAAAAGCACCCATCCATAAAAAAAAAAGTGTCTCACACGGCTCCGGGGGGTGAACAAAGTCCTCCTGTAGCGAATCGATGCGTTTTTGTAAGAAAAATAACCATATTTAAAACGTAATAATCAATTTAATCTAGCTTGCACTCACTGTTGTAAATGGAAGCAGCTCCGGGCGGATGACGTATGAGGTCGGTTTTGCGCATGCGCCTCTCAGAAGTGACAAACGCGGAAGCGCAGGGGAGAGATCAAAACAAAACAACGGTCACTAATTAGAAGTACAAAACGAGGATTTGTAAAGAACAATGTCGGAGGATTTCGATATTAGCCAAGAGAACACGGGTTTTCCTTTGCTAAAGTAAGGAAACTTTGCTTCCTTTGCTCCTGTTAACTAACGTTGGTTTTCACGAGACTCACCTGCACATGCGCAAAGCTGACCTCATACGTCATCAGCCCAGAGCTACTTCTGTGTACAACTGCTGGCGAAAGCTACATTAAAGTGATTATTACGTTTTGAATATGGATATTTTTCTTACAAAAACGCATCGATTCGCTACAGGAGGCGTTTGTTCACCCCCCCGGAGCCGTGTGAGACACTTTTTTTTATGGATGGGCGCTCTTTATTTCACTTTTTTTGGACTGAAGCACTGCAACACCCGCTGACAGCAACGATAGAGTTTGGAATAGCCAGGACAATTTTTAATATAACTCCGACTGGATTCGTCTGAAAGAAGAAAGTCATATACACCTAGGATGCCTCGAGGGTGAGTAAAACATAATTTTTGGGTGAACTAACCCTTTAATACTTAAATAATCCACCACATTTTCCCTTTCATTCAAAATGTTTCGGGGTTAAAGGTCAACCCAAGATTTGTACTTAAGTATAAGCAGTACAAAATCTCAACAGTTTTGACCTCAAAAGCAAACATACAACAGAATGCTGTTTATAAGAGAGATCAACAACAGAACGGTGTCCAAAGCACAAAATAATAAACACTGCAATAGTCCTATCAACTTCTCGAGGTGATGTCATCTGAAGCCTTGGCTTTGGATTTGCTGCCCTTAAAAAGCGAGATGCAAGGTGTTACCACTTTGGATGAGGAGGCACTGGTGCATTAACAACCAAGAACATTAAAAAGACAGTGAATGCCTGAGCGAAGGGGTAAAATTTGGGTTGTTATGCACAGCCTACTACATACACCCTGAATGCCATTTCACCATCCAACTACACGGCTCGATTTATACATTTCAAAACACACAAGCGTTGGTTCAAATGTTGGTTCAAGAGAATAACACCACTCCTCTGCAAAACATTTAAAGAGAAGAATGGCAGTTGATCGTGACAAATGGGACAGCGGAGCGTGGAACATGCCCAGCAGACCCCTGCTTCCACCCATCGTCGACACTGGGAGCACAGAGCCAATCTGATTGGCTGCAGAATGAGGCCTAGCACACCCAGTTCTGCTGAGGTCCCGGGAGAGCGACCACTCTGTCTGACTCACCCCTGCTAAAATAGACCCAACCGTTGTGAGAACAAGGCCTGGGAAACAGAAGAGTTTGGAAATGGCATTGGGGGTGGGGGGGGTACGTTGATTGGAACACTCCGTCCCGAATCATGTTTTCCATTATTATCTGTGCCAGAAGGTTCTCTGGTGGGTTTCAATATTAAAGTGGTTATCCATTACAAATCAAGATCCATGCCTCCACCAAGTGGCTTTTTCAAAATAATGTTCCGAGTGAAGCTTGATGGAAGCGTAATACCATAATCATCTTCAGGTCATTATGCCGGTACATGACATGCCTGCAGTCATCCCAGTGTTTGTTGAGATGATGTCATTCCTGATGTTCTCTGCTGAACCCTGACTGACCTTTATGTGGCTCCAGGCCACTCTCTCAATCTGTACAATAAACAAAAGGCAGCTTAGACCCTTGTATGTCTCACTTTTCGAAAACCCTCTCAAGATTCAATTTAAATCCAAAACCAAGCCTAAAGTTGATGTCACAATCACTGTTCGGCAATTTTTTGGGGGCAAAATCCAGTCATTTCAATAGGAATCCATGTGAAACGTCAAAAGTTTCCCCACACTAATTTCACAAGAAGTTTCAGGTTCAAGTTAATCAAATTTGCCGCTTTGACCAACGGAACGTTGTTTATTTTGAAAGTGACTTCTGTGTGAGTTGTGCTTCATAGACTACAGACAATGGACCTTTTCTGCCCCCAAAATTTTGCCAATTTGACCTCACCTTAACGCAACCAGATGTTACTATCGTAAATTAAATGAATGGGCTGTGTTATGGCTACCGAGTCTGACTAAAATGAAGCTGTTTAAAAAACACTCTGACATTGACCTGGGCTGTGTTTACATTACTGTTGTAAAAAATATTTCAGCAGCTCGACAGATGACTGTATGTTGGCACGGGTTTGAGATCTGATAAATGAATATATCATTTGGTTTACGGTTCACTGATGGGAACCATCCCAATGACCAATAACTCACTTGAAACTCTCACAAGTGAAGCCATATATTAATAACAGTGAAGGCTGCAGAGATATCGTCATGCATTTGAAAGTCTTATTGTTAAGAAACCTGTAAAGAGGTGTTACTCCCATAAGGCATTAAAAGCAGATAAACTTCTGTACAGGCACAGTTAGCCAGCTTAATGATTGACTGAATGGTGAGGCAATGTTTGGGGGTGAGTTTGAATGAAAACCTAGATGCTAATACAAAAAAAATATAATGAAACCAACATCAGACAGCTGAAAAACAACAACCCCCCTCACCATAACCAAACCTTTAGTCACTTTTTTCATGACATTATTAACGCTGTTAAGCTCATTTGATATGACAACAATTTATGTCCACTCCAGATCTTCTCAACATGTGTTCCAGTGATAATTACCAGCTGCCATGAGCTACACTCAGTTTTCCCAGTGTCTTTCACTCATGTTTAGCATCAACTTCCCCATTTTAATTCATGCTGACATGGAATTTGAAAAAGATTTCAAACTATTTGCATTTACCCCTGCAGACATTCAAGGTCTCCACTTCAAGGCAGGCCATGGAGCTGAGAGACGGATCGGAGAGTTGCCGTGTCTGGAGTCCCATGGATTGCTGCGAGAAATGAGGACCGAGGCAAAACGGCGAGATCTGGCAGGAAATTCCCCAGTGTATAGCTTGATTCCAGACCGTTCCCGACAAGTTCCTTCACCGGCTTTGTCTCTAGATTGCTTGTGTGAGTGTTTGTGGGTGTGTAGTTCTCAGCGAGAGTCAGCGCTCTCTGCAGTGCTTCAGCTCCGGCTCCGTCTCTGACTGACAAGAGGAGAGGCGGGACTACAGAGCTGCAACTGTTAACCCTCAACAGCACTGAACACTGGGTAAATACAATAGTTCAAAAGCGAACTTAATCTTAGACAATAAAGAGGAAGCCAATGCAAAAATATACACGTACATCCACAACTTCACATATTTCCATTGTATGCTACTTCAGTTTTAGCAGTGAGTAAATTAATTTGGTCCCTTTTTCCCCCTTGCAATCATGTTGTCATGGAACAAAAATGACAAAAACAACCAAGCAGCACCCCAGGGATATCTCTGTTTGTCTCTGTCACTTAGTGTTGACATAAACTATTCATATTCAGGGTTTACAGATGACAGTCAACATTTCATTCTTCTCATTTGTATTTCAGCAATCCGCCTTTCTAATAAAGCACTATGTGTCTGATGGGGATTCTAGCAAAAATGCCATTAAATTTCCTATCTACATCCAGGGATGTTTCTTTCATAGTAGTTAGAGATTAATATTGCACAGAGGGAAAGAAAATATTTAAACAAAGCCTATCTGAATCAGCCAAAGTGATTAAACACAATGGAACAGGAACGTCCCGGGGGAGGGGAATAGGGAATGTAGTCCTGTATGGTTTAGTCCATTAGGGATGTGCAAAACTACATATTTAGCAGGTGGGTTGCCTGAACAATTAAATGGTCCTAAAGCAGCCCTAAATAATTAAACAAGTTTCAGGTCACCTGACCCAGATCAGACTTAGAAAGTGTTTACATACGATGCATTCCTATTTTCAAAAACAGA